CCGCCCCCAAGTTGCACTGACTGTCTTTTATATCGTACTCCTTCTCTATTATATTTGTATCAATCACACTGGCCTTGGACTCCTCCTATCTCGGCACGACACTATGCTACTACTACCTCTACTACTTCTACTACTACTTCTACTACTACCACTCAAAACTCCGATCGTTCGGCATACCGCAACCCCCGTAAAGTCGCCGCCAAAGTCGTTGTCCAAAAAAAGAATGGTAAGTCCCCGTGAGAGCCGACGACTTACTTGAAGAGCCAAGATTTTTTTCTTCTTTTTCGTGCGTGCCAAGAGTAACCCAACGAGAGTTTTCTCCCTTCTGATTTTTGTTTTTCTCTTCCACTTTTTTTTCCTTTTTTTTTTTTTAGTACCACGATGTATTTGTGATACAGTGTATGATCTCTTAACTCTTTTCCTTTTTTTTTTTCCGTTTCCTCTTCGCCAGTGTTTTCTCCTGCGTTTCGGTTCCGTTTCTGTTTCTTCTCTTCGTTTTTCATCGCGCGGGCGCGCCTCGTGACGTGCGTTCTGTTGTGGATCGAGTATATTCTTATATACCGCCAATTTTCACGCTCATGCGGTATTAATTCTTAAATGACGTGGACATTACAATTTTTTATTGGCATAACACGGGAATGTATTTCGATTTCTTTAATGTATACTTTCATTATTTCATTATAATAACGATAGTAATCTAATAATCGATTTTGATATCTTTTATCTAGAATTAACGTACAATTAGCTTTCCGTAGAATTCTTAAATGAATTAATCTCTACTAAGATCGTCAAATGAGATTATAAAAAGTAGTATTATTATTATTTAACAGCAATTATCTTATGATCAACGAAATCGACAATTTCTTTTTTTTTTTCCATTGTTACTGGAATGCTTTTCTTTTAGCTAAATGAGAAACTATAATTAAAAGCATCAGTAGACGTCGACACGAACGTTCCGCGCGAGATATTATTTTCTCGTATATTAAGTTGACTTCTCTCTCGTTCCTGTATATGTGTATATATATATATATA